CACTCCCCTCCTGGTCTTTGTCATCTCTGTGTCTGCATCTTTGGGCCAGATCACACTCCCTTCCACCACCCGTACCTGCCTCCAGGTAGCAGGAGCCCACAGCTCTGTTCGCCTCCTGGCTGGTGCTCCTTGAGGCTTGCAGGGTGGAGCTGGCTGGCCCCTCAGCCGCGTCCCTTCTCCTTGCCTCCTCTCAGTGTGGGCTTGCCTGCCCTCTCCCAGGAGTTGTCCCCAACCTCTGTGAGTGGCTGCTGCTGCCTCCCAGGGACCCGTGTTCTCCCCGCACACCTGAGCTGCCCTGGCAGCATCCACCACACCCCCACAACCAGAGGGTTAGAGCTCCTGGGAGTTATATGGACGAGGCTGGATGCTGTCCCCAATTTCCTTCTGCCTCGAGCCCAACCCTCGAGTTGGGGTGTCCAGGGCCCCCTCTGGGCTTCCTTGGTCAGGCATGCTTGGAGGAGAGGCCATAGGGTGGCATCAGTGACCACTGTGGCTCCCAGGAAAGGTGCCGATGCCAGGAGGGCAGACAAGGAGCAGTTCTCTGCGGTGGCCTCTAGGATTCCAAACCCCAGTCAACACACCCCGAGGAGTCCCCTGCCCACAACTGGGCAGGGCCTGTAACCTCGATGAAGTGACACAACATGAGATTGGAGGAGGGGTCACCTGCTGGCCCCCAAAGTCATCTGCGCATGCGGGGGTGGGGGCCATGTGGCAGGGAACAGCAGGTGGGACATCAGAGCTACCACCACCAGGACCCAGATTTTGCCAACAGCCACGTGAGCTCAGAAGAGGACACTGAGCTGCAGCTGAGGACACAGCCAGTGATGCTTTGATCACAGCCTCATGAGACCCTGGGCAGAGGACCCAGCCTGCCAGGCCTGGACCCCTGACCCACAGAAGTGTGAGGCCCTAAAGGTGTTTTCTGTATGCCCCTGCATTTCTGCTTGTGCATTACACAGCAATGGAGAAACAGCCCTGATTACAGTAGTTCTGGAGCCCGTGGCCCAGCACCTCCCTTCCCACCTCCTTCAAGTACCTACGCAGAGGTGGCTGAGGTTCCTGGGAGCCCGTGTGCCTGTGCCAGCTGCAGGACCAGGTGGGCCCCCCTCCTGCTCCCCAAGAGTGTAGTGAGGGGGCGGGCATGTAACGCTTGGAGGAAGCAGTGGGGGGATGGGGTCCTGGGGGGACCGGTGAACACTTACTCTGTTGCTAGTGGGATGTTTATCATGTTGGCTCTTTGCAATGTATCACTAGCACTTCATACCCGATGTCATCGTGGAGGATGAAACTGACTTCTAAAAACCAAGTCAACCACAATCCAGCAATCGCTGCTCCTTGGCATTGAAAAGGAGGTGAGAACTTGTGTCCACACAGAAACCTGCACACGGTGTTCCCAGCAGCCTTATGCGTAATGGCCAAAACAAGGAAGCAGCCAAGATGGCCTTGAGCAAGTGACAAGATCAACTGTGGTGCATCCAGACCGTTAATTACAATTCAGCACTGAAAAGAAATGCCTGATCAAGTCATGAGGAGACGAACCTTAAATGTACATTACTACGTCAAAGAAACCAATCTGGAAAGCTACATCCTGTGTGATTCCAACCATCTGGAAAAGACAGAACTATGGAGACGGTAAAAAGGTCAGTTAGCTCAGAGGGTTGGAGCGTGGTGCTGACAACACCAAGGTCTAGGGTTCGATCACTATACCGGCCAGCTGCCAAAACCAAAAAACATCGGTGGCTGCCAGGGATTTGGAGGAGGGAGGGCTGAATCAGGTGGAGCACAGAGGATTTTTAGGACAGTGAAGCTACTCTGTATCATTCTATGATGGTAGACACGTGTCATTCTACATTTGACCAAACCCAGAGGATGTAAACACCAAGAGTGAATTAATGCAGACTATGGACTCTGGGCGATCAGGACATGTCAGTGGAAGTTCAACTTGCACACAAGCGCACCACCCTGGTGTGGGGTGTTGAGAACAGGTGAGACTGTGCATGTGGGGGGGCGGGGATGACATGAGAACTCTACGTTCCGCTCAATTTTGCTGCAAACCTGAAACTGCTCTAGAAAATAAAGTTTAAAAAAGGAAAAGCAAGGCTGGCCAGTTAGCTCACTTGGGAGAGAGTGGTGCTGACACCACCAGCGTCAAGGGTTTGGATCCCCATACCAGCCAGCTGCCGAAAAAATCAAGCAAGTTGATCTAAAATCAGTCTCCTGGGTGGGGGTAGGATGGGCTGGGTAGAGGCCGAGTTCTCAGGAACGTACCTGCACCTTCCTGGGCTTCCCTTTCCTTCCCTTCCAGGAGCTTTTGGAGTCTGGGCTGGGCTCCCGGGCCCCACTGGAGGTTGTTGAGCCCCTTCTCCGTGTGACCCTGTAAGTGGAGCCCCAGCCCACGATGGTGCCAGTGAGCAAAGAGATTCCGATTTGGGGCCCCAAAACAGAAGTGCTGGGAATCCAGAGTTGGGGGACCAAACCCTGGTTCTCCCACGGCCATCCATCCATGCACCCCTAGGCATGACCGTTGGCCCCTGGTGAGAGGGGCCGTGGCACCTCCTCTTGGGCTGGTCGTGTGGGTTAACGTCTGCAGGGTGAGGCCCAGCGGGAATGAGGGCAGGTGGCAGCACATCTGTGGGTGCCCATCTGGCTTCTAATGTGTCCACTGGCCTTGATGTTTCAGTGAAGACCGTGACGCAGGAGAGGGGAGGGAGCATAGGGACAGCACCGAGGGCTTCCGGGGGTCCTGAAGGGCTGGAGGGTGAAGCCACTGACTGTGTGTGTTTGCCACTTTTCTTACCATTTAAAATAATTTTTTTCTAATTGTGGTAAAACACACATAACCTAAAATTATCAAACATTTTTAAATGTACAGTTCAGTGACGTTAAGTACATGCATATTGATGAGTGACCATCACCACCATCCATCTCCAGAACTCTTTTTCATCTTGCAAATCTGAAGCTCTGTCCCCATGAAACACTGTCCCCCTCCCCAGCCCCCAGCAATCGCCATTCTACTTTCTGTCTCTGTGAATGTGACAACTCTAGGGATCTCCTATAGGTGGAATCATGCAGTGTCTGTCCTGTGTGACTGGCCTGTTTCACCGAGCATAACGTCCTCAAGCCATTTTAAGGCCAAGAGTCTGCCGTTTTTAAAATGAGTTTTTATGAGAAGTAACACAGTACAGGAGATTTCAACAGTGCAAAAGAGCCCATGGGGAAGAGTTCCACTCCCCCAAGGCAATGATGCCCGCCGTCCTCTGGGAGGTGGCTGGGCATTGCTTGTCCCAACTGGGATGGCACCATCGTCACAGGCGCCCTGCACCTTCATCTGCCCCTCCAACCTCCCCACCCCTGTGCTGGGACACTGTCATTCCACAGAGGGGCTGCTGATGGACACTCCCCCCTCCCTCCAGTGCTGCCGTGAACATCCCTGGACAGATGTCCTCCTGTGTGTGTCATAAATTCCCAGACACGAAACCCTTGAGTGTAAGGGGGTGCGCATCGCAATTTCAAAGGGTAATCACCACACCGCCCTGCCCTGGGGATGCTGAGCTGCTGGGGTGTCCCCCAGACTCTCCTGCCCAGATTTCCTGATCTGCTCACACTCAAGGTGGCAAGGGGTCCTGGGCCTGGTTTTCCTGTATCCTTGGACACTGATGTTGGTGGAAACTGCTCAGAAATGGGGGAGATGCCTCTGGCTGAGTCCCCTGCCCTGGCCAGAGCTCAGTTTCCACTCCAGTGCTGGAGGCTGACCTTATCCAGGACTCTGCTCAGTCACTTCCTGGCTGGTCCCAGCATCCTTGAATGTGTGACTAGATTAGGGCTTGTCACGGCAGGAAGTGGCCACACTAGACCCCCTCCCCCATCTCTAGTTCATTTTATCTTCCTCCACTGTCCCTGGCTGGGTCCTCCTGCTCCCAGACACCCCCACTCCACCCCCATGGCCCAGCTCTGACCACACAGGGGCCAAGAACCCCCAGAATGGGCATCCCTCCAGGGCAGGACAGGTCGAAGTCTCTGGGGCAGGGAGGGGCACCTGCCCCCTGAGCCTGTCTCCTCCTCTGCACAGCTGGCCTCCATCTGCTAGTGCAGGGACGGGGCTGGAGGAGGGAGGGCCTCCTGGGAGCGTGGCTTAGGAGCTCTGGCCTGGCTGCCTCTCCCAATAGTCACCCAGTGTCACACCTAGGGACCCAGGCTGAGGGCTGGCCGGGACAAGAGCAGAGGGGCTTCCAGAACCGGGGATGGATGCCTCTGAGGGGGCACCAGCCGGAATCCCCCTGTACCCCCAGGACAGCACATGGTCAGCCTGGGGACTCTGGCTGGGGACCTCAGCTATCTTCAGCAGACCCCAGACTGGCAAGGCTCCTGTCTCTGCTCCTCACTTGGTTCCTGCCCAGGGGCTAGTGCTAGGGCCACTGCAGCAGGGGATGGCGATAAGGCTGGGCAGCCCACACAGAGGACCTGGTGTACTTTGGGGGGTGTCACTCACCTGTTCTAGCCTCCAACCCAGGGAGGCAGGGCTCTTCTTCTGCAGCCAGAGATAGGAAATGGGGTTGGGGGGGTCAGGAAGAGCTGAGAGCCCCTGATGGGGGGAGGGGTGTGACCTGGAGGGTGGGCTGCCATGAAAACTGGGGCTGCAGACATGACTGGCCAGCAGGAAGTGGCCACTTGGCCCACAGATGCTTCCTGGGCTGGACAGTTGCTGGAGGTGGGGGCTGCTCCCCTGCCCATCTTGCCGGCCCATCACCAGGACTGCCAGGAGGTGCCTCACCAGGACTGAGTGACCCAGAGCCTCCTCCGCCCACACTCCAGGCCTCCCACGGGCTCGCTGGTGGGCACCAGGCCTGGTGGGTGTGCGGGGGCAGGGGCTGTGCCTTCCTGGCTTATCTTACCAGGCACCGTCTGCCCCTCCTCTGGGGTTCCGGAAGCCGGGGGTGGGGGTCTGACGAGGCAGGAAGCCCACGGCCACAGCCCAGAGTAGCCGAGCCCAGCCCCACAGCATGCGAGGGCTCCGGCTGCTGTGGCCCCTGGTGCTGGGGCTCAGCCTGGTGGTTGGCACCCAAACCTCCAGCGACTACGACGAGGGCGGGAGTGCAGGAGGCAGTGATGGTGAGTGAGCCCAGCCCTGCTCTGCAGGATGCAGGGAGAGGGACATTGGAGATGGAGCTGGGGCCCAGGGCCACTGAAGGGGAGAAAGGGAACATAGGGGGCCTTCAGACCCACCCCGCCCTCCACCCTGACCCTGTGGGGCTTGGTGATTTTCTTCAGTGGCCGTGTCCAGCTCCATCCCACCAGCCCACCCTAACCATCCAGCACCAAGTGCCAGATGACGGGCCCAGGGCCAACCCCAGAGCCTCCATCTCCTCTGCCCACCTGTCCCTCAAGGCCGGGGCAGTGGCAGGGGCTGACACCACCTCTCTCCCCCAGAAAGCACACCAGGGCCCTGGAATAGGACCAAGGAGTCAAAGCCCCAGCTCCCGCCCCACCCACGCAGCTTCCCTGGCCAGCCCTGCGCCAATGACAGCGACACACTGGAGCTTCCGGCCAGCTCGCAGGCACTGCTGCTGGGCTGGGTGCCCACGCGGCTGGTTCCTGCCCTGTATGGGCTGGTCCTGGTGGTGGGGCTGCCTGCCAACGGGCTGGCACTGTGGGTGCTGGCTACGCGGGTGCCGCGGCTGCCCTCCACGGTGCTGCTCATGAACCTGGCGGCCGCTGACCTGCTCCTGGCTCTGGTGCTGCCACCACGGGTGGCCTACCACCTGCGGGGCCAGCGCTGGCCCTTCGGCGAGGCCGCCTGCCGCCTGGCCACGGCCGGGCTCTATGGCCACATGTATGGCTCTGTGCTGCTGTTGGCTGCCATCAGCCTGGACCGCTACCTGGCCCTGGTGCATCCCCTGAGGGCCCGTGTCCTGCGTGGTCGGTGCCTGGCCACTGGGCTCTGCGCGGCTGCCTGGCTCATGGCAGTCACCCTGGCGCTGCCCCTGGCCCTGCAGCGCCAGACCTTCCAGCTGTCAGGTTCCGACCACGTGCTGTGCCACGACGCACTGCCCCTGCATGACCAGGCCACCTACTGGCGGCCGGCCTTCACCTGCCTGGCACTGCTGGGCTGCTTCTTGCCACTGCTGGTCATGCTGCTCTGCTACGGGGCCACCCTGCACACGCTGGCGGCCAGTGGCCAGCGCTACAGCTATGCGCTGAGGCTTACCGCGCTGGTGTTGGCCTCGGCTGTGGGCTTCTTCATGCCCAGCAACATGCTGCTGCTCCTGCACTACTCGAACCCCAGCCCGGATGCCTGGGGCGACCTCTACGGCGCCTACGTGCCCAGCCTGGCAGTCAGCACCCTCAACAGCTGCGTGGACCCCTTGGTCTACTACTACGTGTCGGCCGAGTTCAGGGACAAGGTGCGGGCCAGGCTCTGCTGCTGGGTGTCGGAAGCCACCACAGCCTCCAAGGCTTCGGGGGGGAGAGACAGCCCAGGCACTCGCACCTCAATCCTGTGAGGCCCTTCAGAAGGGGGGCAGAGGGAGGAGGGGGTTGCTGAGTTGAATAAGCCCTCCCCAAGTTCATGTTCTTTCGGGAACCTCAGAATGTGACCTTATTTGGAGATAGGGTCATTACAATTGCAATTAGTTAAGATGAGACGGAGCAGGGTGGGTCCTACATCCCAGATGAGTGGTATCCTTATAAGAAGATGACACAGAGACACGGAAAAGACCCCGTGGTGATGGACTGATGCGGCCAAGCCAAGAAATGCCAAGGATTGCTGGAGTCACCTGAAGCCAGGAGAGAAGCCTGGGATGGATTCTCCCTCAGAGCCTCCAGAAGGAACCAGCCCTGCAGACACCTTGACTTTGGACTTGTGGCCTCCAGGACTGTGAAGGAATAAAGTCCTGTTGTCTTAAGCTACCTGGTTTGTGGTACTTTGTTACAGCAGCCCCAAGAGACTAAGACAAGGGTTAACTGCAGATGCCCGGGCCCAGCCAGCTTCTCTGGCTCAGCTCTCTGGGCTGCATGGAGCCCGCGACACTGCAGCTGATGAGCTCCCTTGTGTCCAAGGCGGGGCTGAGGCTCAGGACCTGGACCTGCTGCAGGACCCTGCCCAGGAGGCGGCTCCAGCTCCCCATCCCCAGTGCCCGATGCTGGGGCCCTGCATGGCCCAGAGCCTGGCTGGCCATTCTCATCCCCAGAAGCCCAGGTTCTGGCTTCAGGATGTCTCCTGAGCAATTGCAGCAGAGTGCAGCCCCCCTACTCCCCAAAGCCTGATGTCTCTTAAAATCCATCACTAGCACAACTCAGCCTCCTGCCGTCATCCTGGCTACCAGAGGCCTTTCTCCCCGCAACCTGTGGTACGTTTTTTCATTTTTTACGTCAACTTCCCCTTGGACACAGTGGGATACCAGGAGAGTGGGTAGGGTGTGCTAGGAGTCGGGGCGTTGCAGCCCTGGGAACCCCACACCCCAGCCGTCTGCAGCGTACTCTGAGCCATGTCAGGGGCACCAGGGGCTGCACCCATGCCTGCTGGGGACACCGCAGGTGTGTGGGGAAGGGGAGCTGCTGAGGCGTGAACTGTGGGGTAAGTCTCCCCAAAAAGGCAGAGGGAAGTGGGGGCCATTCCTGGGGTCCCCATTGGGCCTATGTCTGATTAGCCCAGCTTTGGGGCTGGGGGTCTCAGGTGCCCAGGACTTGGACACATGCATACATACGCGAGTGAACGTACACACACACGAGGGAAACAGGATATGTGAACAGTATTGGTGTCAATTTCCTGGCATGATCACACACTAGTTCTCTAATATGCCACGTGGCAGGAATCTGGTTGTGAAGGGTGCCCAAGGCCTCTCCATATTATTTCTTCCAGATGTACATGAATCTGATTTTCTCCAGGTCCGGGTGTTCCACATCCACAACCCTCTCCCCACCTTGCTCTGAAAGGCTGGGCTACGGGTTAGGAAATGCAGGCTGGGGGCCCCCGGCTGCTGGGTGGGAGCTGGGACTCAGCCCGGGCCCGTGGAACCCACCACCCAGCCGCTGTGTCTCTGAGGGGCTGGGGCATTTTCCCTGCCTGTGAATAGGGTTTGCACCCTCAGTGCCACTCCCCCAACTCCCCAGGTTCCCGCTGCCAGCAGGAGGCTGCAGCCCATCCGTGACCCTGTGGAAACGAGCTTTTATTTTGTCAATGGCCTCTACAGTGAGTGGGTGCAGGGCCTTGGCCTGAAGAAGAAGCCTCGGGGCCTATCCTTTATAGGCTGGCAGGGTTCAGGGGCCAGAGACTTGGCTGGTGCTGGAAGATGCAGACCCCACAGGCTGGGGCAGCTGAGGGGTCTGTGTTGCCCCTGGGAAGAGATCAGAGATGAGCGGTGTTGGGTGAAATAAATACCTCCTGGGAGAAGACCAGTGAATGCACGTGAGGGAACAGAATTAGGCACCCTCTGAGGGTCACCAAAAGCAATCAAAGGCGGGCGTGGTGCTGGCAGCAGCTGTGAGGGTCCTCAGAGGCAGGCAGCTTCCATCCCAGAGGTCGGGCACCCTGCAGGCTGCTGGGAGGGTGACAGTCTCCCAGGTGCCAGATTGGGGGCTCAGGGTGGGGAGCCCAGAAGTGGCCAGGCTAGGAAGCATGACATTGAAGGTGCATTTCTCTGGTGCCATGGGCTTTGCCTGCAGGGCCTTGTGCTGTCAGGACCAGACATTCAGGGTCCCCTGGTGAAAGCAGAGGGTGTGGTGACTGATGACAGTCCTGAAACAACTTGGTGTCCTGGTCAGAGGCGGGAGAGGCAGTGGCCCCAGTGCCCCAAAGGGACATCAGGGCTTTTGTGTTTCAGAGAAAGGTGGCCTGTTTAGTTTCAAATATGCTGGCAAGGAGACTGACATTGTGTCCCCTCTGAAAGAGGCCTTTGGCCATGAGTCTCTCCTGGGAATGTCCTTTCTCTGGGCAGAATGTCAGGCCGTGGGAGCTGCCTGTGCTCCAGGAAGGGGATGCCCGGCCCCAGGACTGGGGGTTGGCACCTGGAGCTCTAGGTGCAGCTGGGGCAGTAGGGGCAAGAGCTGAGGGACCTCCAGCCACTCCAGCTGTCCCCCCAGCATGCACACCCACTGCTGCATCTACACTTGGGGCCCAGGAGGCCCATTCTAGGATGGGCGGTTCTCTGCCATTCTGTGCATCAGGTTCATTTAGAGGCAGTTGTTGGTCACCTGGGGCAGGGTGTGCCCACCCACCAGGCAGAGTCACAGCCTGACAGGAACAGGATGCAGCCAGATCATGTTGTCCTGCTCGGAGCGGGAAAGCCGTTAAGAAGAGAAGCCGCTCTGACTGGCCAGGAGAGAAGGAGAAAGATCCTGGTGGGCTGTGAGGCCTTGCAGGGGGTCCCTGCACCCCTTCCATGAACTATGTGGCTCAGGCCTCGCTGCCACATCCCCATTAAGACAGCAGAACCTGGGGTGGGGGGGACACATAGCCCAGGCCCAGTCCCTCACAACCCTGCACCCCCCACCCCACAAATGGGTCCCAGGTGTTCACTGTGGTTCAGGGTGGAGCAGCTGTGTAGAACCACCGACCAAACAGAAAAACCACCCACAGACGCTGCTCAGCAATAAAAAGGAACAAACTGTTTATATTCCCAACGCCACCAGTGAACACAAGGGAATCACGCTGAGGGAGAAAACCCACTTTCGGAAGTCATGTGCTGTCTGATTCCACTTACCTAGCATGGGGATCCGAACCTGTGACCTTAGTGTTAGCACCACGGCCTTACCAGCTGAGCTGAACAGCCAGCTCTCTAGTGCTTGAAATGACTACATTACCGAGAGGGAACACAGCTTAGTGGCTGCCAGTGGTTAGGGACCCAGGGAGGTGGATAGGTTTATAAAAGGGCAGTGGGAAGGATTCTTGGGCCGAGGGGCTGTTTTGTGTGTCCACTGTGGCTGTGATTACATAAATCCACACACGTGCAAAAAACCGCACACTGCTAAATACACACACAGGTGAGTAGGCATAAAACTGGTGAAATATGAATCAGATTGTTCGGTCGTAACAATGTCAATTTCCTGGTGTGACGCTGGTTTTGCAAGATGCTACCCCTGGGTGGAAGCCGGGTAAAGGGTACCGACATCTCCCTGTACTATTTCTTACAAACTACATGTGACCTATGCTTATCTCAAACTAGTAAGTTGAATAAAAATCCCGCCCTCCAAAAACACCCCCAAACTGTCTGAAGGCAGCTGGAAGACACTTGAGGCGGAGGGGCAACACTTGGGATAGTTCAAAAACTTACATACGACAACTATATCATAAAGGATGGTCGGGGACAACAAATGGTTATTATATACAGCCTCAAAGTTTCTACATTTTAGAAGTGGGTACAATATTAAGGCTAAGTAGACTGAAAACGTTAAGGGTGTATACTGTAATACCCAAAAGTTAAGGTTGTACTCTAATACACCACTAAAAAAAAAAAAAAAAAAAAGATGCTAAAAGTAGACCTTTTCAAAAAATTTTGGAATCTTGGAATGAGTGTTGCTTTATGAAGCTTAAGATAGGTAAAATAAAAGAAATAGTATACCGCCTTCACTGTGTAAGTAAACTTAGGAAATTTATCCCAGGAATGTAAATGGTTTGAAAATATGTGGGTAAAATCTTTGTATAAATTCATTGCTGGTATTCAGAATTTTTTATTTTATTTTATTTTATTTCTTAAAAGATGACGGGTAAGGGGATCTTAACCTTTGGCATGGTGTTCTCAGCACCATGCTCAGCCAGTGAGTGAACCGGTCATCCCTATATAGGATCCGAACCCATGGCCTTGGTGTTATCAGCACCGCACTCTGCCGAGTGAGCCACGGGCCGGCCCAGTATTCAGAAATTTTTAGTTAAAGAAGAAAGCTTAGGGCTGGTATGGTAAGGACTGGACTAAAACTTTTTCAGTGATGAAAGCTTCTAGCTGTGTGATCTTGGACAAGTTACTTAACTTCAGTGTCCATGTCTTTAAAATGAGGATAATACTACCTACCTTTCTGGGTAATAGTGACAGCTTAATGAAATAATACGTGTAAGTAACGTATTGGACCTATATGGTTAATAATATATATTAGCATGAATAAACTCACTTAATCTTCATCACAGTCCTATAAAAGAAATTCTAAAAAATATTCAATTAATTCAAAAGAGGGCATAGGAGGAGAGACAGCTGGTGTCTTCAACTTTTTGCTTAAATTTTGTATTTTTGTTGTTTTTGTTTGTTTGTTCTTAACCACTTACACCCCAAAGATTCGCCTCCTCCAGGAAGTCTGCCCAGCAGCCCCTCCCAGCCCCACCCACGGGGCTTCCTGTCTCCAGACAGACCCCTGGAGAACCAGCACCTTCTCTGCCCTTCCCTCAGGGTCCTGGGGTGAGTGTGTCCCGGGGATGACTCCTTTGGAGAGCTCAGCCTCACCCTGCACCTAACAGGGCTGTTCTCCCACTTTGTCCCCAGAAACTCGCAGGGTAACCCCTTTATTTGAGTCACTC